ACCCAGAAAGACTGCAACAGGTCAGAATGTTTTTAGCATTATGGATTTCTATTTGAAAAATCTGGGTTTATCATGTGAATCAGATTTGCACCTCTAATCACTGCATTATACTCTGAAGACAAGAGGTGCTAACTGCCTTCCTAGAATACAGAAAATCTTAGCACTTTTTTATGCAAACCATATTTTTAGGGCTTCCCCATTCCCAAGTGTAACCAGCACTACCCTCAGTAATCATAACAATATGAATAGCACAGGGTTAGGGCCATATCGCATGTGACATTTAGCATATGTTAAATGCACTTAAAACACGACTGCAAGTTCAAGCAGTAAAACATGTTCTAAGTGTACTCACAGGGTGAATCTACATATCACCATATGAGCTTTACTGCAGAGTAGATTAATTAGCTTCACAGAAAGTCTCACCATCTACACATGTGCTAATATCAAGGTGCAGTAAATTAATTAAGTCTGCCATAAGATAGTACAGACCTGACAATCGAAGACAGTACTATCTTATAGAGGAGTAATTAACTATAGTGAAATGCATGTGTAGACGCTGACCGGGGACATAATTTGTGCCCACTTAACCCAACCAGCTGAGGGCCTGCTCCACCTCAGCTCAAATTGCAGCTGTCCTGGGCACATGTGTAGATGCTGTACCTGAGAGCAGTTTACTCTGGCTCAAATTGCTCTAGAGTTTATTGCACATGTAGATGCACCCACTCTGTAGAAAAGTTATTACTTTTTTGGGTGAGGGGTATTTCCAGTAATATGTGTTCAGCTACCATCGGACTGCTCCATGGAGACTGCAGCCCCCCACCCAACCATTATATCAGTCAGGGTCCCTTCTGCCATACCAAGCCTACAGATAGTATGAGGAAAGCCATACATGTCAGGATGAAGGATCCTGCATCTTTCATTTGTCAGGGTCCTCCACGATCAAGTTGAAAGCTGGGTGCCTGTGATCCCAGAGGGTCCTAGGGCTGGGATCAACAATCAGCTGATTGTAGATGCCAGCCCTGGCACTGCATTGGAGTTGGATCAAGAGTACAGTTAGGTGCCAGGGTTGGGACTGTGGCAAACTGTGCACGTTAGAAATCATAGTTACATTATTGTGTGACTAGTCAAAACACATCCTAATATTACTGCTGCACAGATTTAACACATACTAAGTGTCCTATGTGACAAAACCCTTAGTGAAATGATTTTCAGGGGTAAACTTTAAGCTTAAATTAACTACTTTCTTATGAACAGACAAGGTTACAATCTTTTCTTGCCCATCATCCTTCTCTTGGAAAATAGTCTGGTTGATTGTGGAGGAACCTGGCTCCAGTTGTTGATGTTTAGAAAACATGCAAAGAGCAATTCTGGGTCTCTGGGCTCAGTGGGTACATGTAGTCTTGTATGTGCAAAGCTGAATAACAAATAGTGCATAAGTGCCTGAAACTGCTGCTATGCAGCTATGTATGTGCCATTTAGACGCATAAAGAGAAACAGGATTTGGCCCTATCTCTACCAGGCAAGACAAATGTAAATACTCATAACGAGAAGTTTCTTCCCAGAAGCTGGATCTCTTCAAGATGTGTTGTCCCTATGCAAACACTCACTATGAGTGTGCATAAGCTAGAAGCACTTGGGCTCAGAGATTTTGCCTCAGTAGTATCTATACAGTGTACCATAGCCCTGCCCTTCCTCATGCTCCATGGCAAGGGCACAGAGGGCAGTGCGTACCTCCTGTTCTTCAATCTCATCTCAGAGTCTCATGTTGTACCTGACCTCCGGGAAACAGGAGGTGATATGGATGCGAGTATGGACAATTCTAAAAAATTCTCATTACTGGGAATGAACTAACCTCTCTTTCTTCTGGAGTGACTGTCCATATACTTGTCCACACTGTGCGCAACTCTGAAGCCATACCCTCAGATGTGCAGGTAATAATGGGTCTGCTGGGCATGTTTCTGGAATGTCACAGTGTTGGATAAGACTCCGGGCAACTTCCAGGCAAATACTACTTGTGGAGACATTGTATAGGGAGGCTATAGCAGTAGCCTAGGACCTGGTGGAATGAGCTCTGACTACAGAGTAATGCTCCACCTTAAAGGTATCATAACAGAGCTTAGCACAATTCAGTATCCAATTGGATATTCTTTGGACTGATACTTCTACACCCATATATCTCAACTAAGCAAAGAGATGGTGGGGGCAACTTCCCGAAAGGTTTAATTTTATTTAGGTAGAAGGACAGAGCTCTTTTCATGTCAAGGGAGGAATAAGGTTTTGGGAAGGACACTAGGCAGTTGATGCGCTCACTAAGGTGGAAATCAGCGACTATCTTAGTAAGGAACTTGGGGTGAGTCCTCAAGAATACTTTATCTGTATAAGTATACAAAGAATACTCTAAGAGGGCTTGAATATCACCCACCCTCCTTGTTAAAGTAATCATCACCAGGAACACTGTTCATGGAGAGATGGAGAAAGAACACATTGCCACAGGTTTAGACAGTGGCCTGATGGGAGGGTTTTTTTTTGTCCCAAGGCCACCACAGCCATTGGGGCACTTTACATGCTGGTGCATCATTGGTGATTCTTTGGGCAAAGTGACCTGGCAGCTCCTATCTCCTCTCCAGGTATGAATGGCTGTTGGATTACAGGGAGCTCATCTGCCCTTTGACAGTTCTTTTTTAGTCCTAGTGGGTATCCACACACCCTCCTCACCCAGGCTAGCTCAGGTGGGGGTGATGGTTTAGTTGCTGACAACCTGACCATGGAATAGGTTGTATTGATTTACATGGTACCAGATAGCAGACCAAGAGTGGCCTGGCCTGACAGAACCATGGGAGTCCTGAGAACAAAATTCAGGTCCTATTGAGGAAGCAAGTCTCTCACCAAGGGAAGTATTTTAATTGGTTCTTTGAGGAATCTGAAGACTGCTGGATGAGAAAACATCAGATGTCTGCCACATTATGTGCTTAAAGCCACTAAATTCATGTAGCACTTGGGGTAATGGTATAATAGAGATTAATCAAGTGAGGGAAAGATTATTCTCCTACAAATTACCCAGTCTTGAACCTGGACCTGGAGAGTCCTCTTGGTCTTCAGGGGGCACTTGCAATTGCCCTAGAGCAGTGAGGGCCAATCACAGGCATGCCACAAATTAGCTCTGCACCATCACCAAGTGCCAAACTGATCTCTTTCCTCAGCCCGATTCGCTGCTCTCTTTTCTGCTTCCTTCCCTGTTGCTGCTGTTCTGCTCATCTCCTCTCCAGTCTACCCTGTGCTACATCCAGAGACTGTCTGTGCCACTTGCAGCACTCATGCTGTGCTGCAGATTGGCCATCCATGCACTAGAGGAATTGGGACATTAGAGCTAAAGAATATGAGGCTGGGTAGCAGGGTTTAATTCCAATATCCAGGGCATGATGAAACCTCTTAGCACCACAACAGATGTGGAAGCTGGTTGAGAAGATGGCAGTGTCCAAGATGAGGACAGGGTATGTGCCAGTGATTCTAATTTACCCCACCCAGGAGAAACCTGGACTGGGAATATTATCAACAGAGTGGATTGATGAGATGCCAAGGAATGCCCAGCATGCTTTTCCTTGACTTTCTTCTTCTCTGGTTGAGGGTAACTGATGAAACTTGGTAATACTGCTGCTATCTTGGTGGTAGGGCCTCTATGAACTCCAACAGTACTTTCATAGAGCCATGAAAGATTGGAATGTGTATAAAATAACTGAGGAAATGACTGAGAAGCTGAACTTCACCCATCCTTTGGCCTAAATGTCAGGCCTGCACCTGGAATGCAAGTAGTCACTCAGCTAGTGCAGGAGCTGACAAGACAGTTTTGAGCAGAGAGGTCAACAGCCAGGGACCAGGAACAAGAACGCCAGGAACAGAGGAAGCAGAACCCAGGGAACAGGAAAGCAAGAACAACAAGCAAGGCCTAAGACACTAGGACCAGAGTCAGGGGTTTAGCAGAAGCCAGGTAGCCACGGTCAAAGCCAGGTATGCACCCAGGTGCCAGGGTGACAAGCCAATGGTCAAGACAAAGTTGTGGACGGGACAGCAGTTGATTAAGGACAGGAGGTCCAAGGCAGAAACAAGGATGAGGGTCCAAGGCAGCAACATTCAACAATGGTATTGCTGAGAAAGGGTCCTACAGGAAATGGGAAAGTTTTATAGCCTTTCCATGAGGGGCTTGTAGCTCTTACTGGTTCACCCAAGTCACCTGATCCCCCACTAGGCATCTCAAAGGAGGGCCAAGGCTAAGCTGGGGCTTATATTTGGCTTGTTGCCTGGTGGTACTGTCTATGCAGATGGTCCAGGTTTGAAACCTATGGGTCCTGACACCAACAGCCTAATGATTAGGACACTTGACCAGGGAGCAGGAGATCCAGGTCCCAAGCCCCCTCAGCCACAGGGAGTTTGACCCGTCACTTCCTCCGTCCCAGAAAAATCCATTAACCATGGGTTAGGCATTAATCAGACACTTCTCCAGTTGACCCCAGCTGGCAGCCAGAAGTGGAAGAATGTGGAGCCAGGATGAAGCAAACAAGTGAGACAGTGTGTGGCTTAGCGAGGTGGCTGTTGTCCTGAAACCTTGCTCCCAAAGAGGCAGAAACTTTCCCGTTACTTTTCATTCATTTTATCCAATGACTATTAAAAACAAGCTGCAGTGTGCCAGCTTCAGGAGGAGGACTGGAGAGGAGGCCAAAAACTGCAGGTTTGCAGTTGTGTATGTGCCATTTAGGAATGTAAAAGGAAATAGGATTTAACCCTAGTTCTTTTTATGGGCAAAATAATCTACTTCCTGCAAACCCTGAAGGCTCTTTTGTGCCTGGTTTGCACAGGTGTCCAGCAAGTAGGGTGCTGAAATTATTTTTGTGCTCCCCCTAGTCCCCTTAGGAACTTACTCAAATCAACACAAAACAAAACAAAACAAAACAAAACAGGAATGACATCTAATTGGATTGCTTTTTAGATACTGACAGGATACATACCTTTTCTCCTTTCATGCCCATCTCTCCTTTCATCCCAGGCACTCCTTGAAGCCCTCTTTTACCCTAAAAATACATTTTTGATTAAATAGTTTCTTATCATTAAAATAGTATTCCCATAAATGATGCATACTTTGGAACTAACAGTTTTCCAGAAGAAAGCTACTCTATTCTCTTCAGGAGGAAGCTGAAGCAGGAGAAATACTCACCTGATTTTTTTTTTCATTCACGTAGCGAGTTTAGTTCTCTCTCTATTGTGCATTTTCCCAATGCAGTACTAGCAGATAAACTGCAAGCCAGAACTTGACCTTTGCTTCACCTAAATTATTCCTTTCTAAGCTATCAAAAGTGGACACTGGGAAGATCTCCACTCTCAATTTCATACAACGTAATGGGCAATAGAGAAGAAGATGCTCAGATATTTCTGTGATATGCTGCTGACCAAGGAATAAACAGATCATGGAGGATGTCTCAGTGAGAGGTGATGAATACACGCAAGTCCAACTGACATTCCTAGAGTGCCAGTCATGCCTTGTGCTGAGTATACTCAGTTCGCATTAAGTGCTATGTGTGTTCAAGACATTTAGTATTGCACAAAAAATGCTTAGCACCTTTCAGTATTAGGCCCCAATTTTCTTTTCAACAGAGTTCCCATGAATCTGAACTCCCAAGCCCCAAACAGCGTTCCTACCAAGAGACATGTTCTCTTACATGCAGTATGCATATGCAGCAGAATGCTCAATGACCGTATGGCCAATCAACCACACAATGCCACACATCGTGTGACGTGCCATTAAACAAAAAATGATTACCAGCTCCTTTAAATCTTTGTTATTCCCATTTCCAACCCTATCAATATTGAATTACAACCAACAAATTTCAGTTCATGGTACAGTAACCTTGTAAACAAAGTACTTTAAAGTACAACATCTTTTTGTTATACTATATTTCTAGTCATGTAAATAAAATATGCAGTACAAGTTATTTGATGGTTATTGCTTGTTTCCTACTGAGTTAATGTAATTTATACAAATGCAGGACTATGTTTTATTACAGGTTCTCATGTGGTATTGGTGAATGGGCCATGTTTTGGGAAATTACTGATCAACCATATGTTTTCATAACTGCTCTGGGCTCAGTCCCAATGAGTATGGTAGTTCAGCCTTTTACTGCACTGTTTTTTATATCAGGTTTGACTGCATGTTTATTGAGGTCAATAGCAAAGATCCAAGTGATTTTAATACTGCTGGATAAAGTAATGAAGAAAAAATTAAGTGCAAATTTATTTTCATTCACGATTTTTTCCTTCTGGATAACTTTACATATTTACTGTCTCCACTGCCTCTGTTTTAAAGTAACGTGCTAAGTTTAAATACCCATGACCTGTTTTAAAGTAATGTGCTAAGTTTAAAGACCCATGATAAAGATTCAATGTGAATCAAAGGTATACATGCAGGATTTCAGTTTATTAGTGATTTATCTTAGGAAATAATCTATGCTTATGACAAAC